AAAAACAAAAGCATAGAATAATTATAAATGTATTCATTGACAACCTTAGAAGACTCATAAATAACCATTCTAAAATGAATAGAAGATATTCTCGCCAACACCGTTGGTTTGGAAAGTAGCTAGTGATTCTCAATTTCTAAATGAGTTTTATGATGCTGAAGTGTATCTGATACAAAAGAAAATAATTATTTTTAAAACATGAACCTAGTGGGGTAGAGATTAGTCACAAAAGAAACCAAATTTAATGGAAGTAGCTCAAGATTAAGGTTAAAAAGGAAAACTTGAGTCAAGAACTTCCTAATAATGTTCCCATTGTGACCCTTCACAGACTCATTGATTATTCAGTTAGAATAAGTCACTTAAATTTTTTGTGACTTAGATTCCTAGCTTATGAAATGGGCTGATTCCATGTTCCTATTTAATAGTTCTACTAGGACTTAAAAGAAAAAAAAATTATTACAAATAAGTAGATTGTCATCTTTAAGCTGCTATCTCTAAAGAAATGTATGTTTTCCTACCTTAAAGTGGGTGATTTTTAGGATGGGTTCAGTAGATTTGAAGGATTTTTAGTCACTGCTACCCATGGAAGACTGTTTTCTCTATCTGGTAGTTCAGTTCTCTACAGAATTCCAAGGGAAGCGGGGCTCATTTTGTGGTGCTTCCCTACTCCCAAGACCTCACCTTTTACACCTCCCTGTCCCCAATAAGCCAAGTGAGCAGAGGCCAGGGGCTGGCCCTTGATGGCTCAGAAGTTGCCCATTCCTGTGCTAGAGTAGTGAGAAATTCAGTCTGAAGAAATGAAACATCACTTTATTCATTTCCCAGGAAATAGCTGGATCTTGGACATGTTCACGGCCTGGTAATTAACAGGCTTGGGTAGCTTTGTGTGCGGGCCAGTGTGCTAGCAACACGGCAACAAACGGAGGTGTGAGAACTCCAGTCCCATCCAAAGTGGTTAAAATGGGACAGTCACAGAAAGCAAGGCTTTTCTTCACCAGAAGGAACAGCAGTGAGCTTAGAGACTTTTTATGTGTGTTTAAGATGGTCAGATGTTTCAAGTTTAAGAAGGGCTTCTCATGTTAAATAAGTGAGCTCCCCACGCACCTTCTCCTTGAGCCAAGGGCCAGGTGGATTATGTCCCATTTTGCAAAGACTGATGCAGAATTACTACACGCTTTTATTGCTAAACTGTCTCGGTGACTCAGGACTTTAGGGCTTATGCATAGATAATGTGATAAAATAAAGGCATATGGTAGATGAAAGGGTTCCACTCTCTTTGAGGTCTGATTGTCAGATTTTTCAATTCGTAACTTTCCCACTGTTTGAAATCCTGAGCCCAATACACATTTAAAAAAAAAATCTCTGTCTTTATAGTGTCCTTTAAAAAGGCAAAGTGAAAGTGATTTAGAATCTTCCCTTTTTCATTTTGCTTGATTAAATATTAATTTTTTGCCTTCTGTTTTTAAGGCAGTTTTCTGGTAGGAAGAAATATATAGTTTGTCATTAACTTAAGAAGGAAAAGGTACTATAGGACCTATTGATTAGTAACAAATAAATTATACAGGCCAGGGGTGTTAATAGATGTTAAGGGGAGCACGAGAGCACTTCTAGCTGGGGTGGTCAGGAAGTCCTGGGGACAAACATGGAACTTCCGTGGCCTTGCAGAATGGGAACAACACTAAGTAGCAGAGGAGAAAGGGCCGTTTCACTGGCTGAGGATCACAGAAGCAGTGAATGGCACGGCAAGTTCAAGGGACAGTGAACACACTGTGGCATAATGTTTAAGAGCACAGACTCTGGAGCCAGACTGCCTGGATTCAGGACTGCCCTTTACATTGTGATTGACCTTGAGCAGGTGTCTTAACCTCTCTTTGCCTCAGTGTAAAAAAGTGGTACCGATCGTGCCTAAATCATAGGGCAGTTGTAAGGATTTGAGAATCGTGCTAGCACACGTTAAATATTAAATAAGTATAATCGAATGTGGTGATGGCAGGGATGTCGGTGAGCATAAAAGACAAGGCTGTAAGGAAGACTGGAGGGAGCTCACGGAGGGGACTAGACTGTCAGGACCGCATATAGTTTGCAGTGAGAAAAGCTTTCCAAAAAAGAATACAGGGTGTCCCAAAAAATATACACACACTTTGGATAATTATTAATTCCAATAGGTTAAATCTGAAAAGAAAGAAACATCAGTTGAGCTATCAGCTGTTAAAGTGTGTCTACCTTTTTGGGGACACTCTGTATATGATCAGACTCGTGTATTTGGGAAAATAATTTAGCAGAAGAGGTTGAAGAAGAGACTGGCAACAGAGAGACTGCTTAGGAGATTTGTAATGGTCCAGGCTGGAGGGATTCACATCAGGACTCAAAGGATAGAGGATGGATTCGGATTAGAAAGAAGAGACAGACCTTGCAAACATCCATAACGAAACTGTTGTTAGCATCTGGGGACTGAGTGTCAGGGAGGCAGTGGGAAAATCCAAATCATAGATGTTTTTAGGAAGAGCTGGCAATGTGTGCAAGAAGGCGAAATACACTTTGTATGTCCTGAATGTAAAGACAATAACAAGACTGGGTGTTGAAAATGCTTACCTGGTGCTCCAAGAGAAATCAGACCTGGATATAGAAATTGGAGACCCCCAGAGGAGGCAGTTGCGCTCTGTGAGTCAATGAGGTAACAAGGAAGAGAGTGTACTAGGTGAATATTACAGTAATTATCTTTCCCACCTCTAGAGGAGAGAGTGTGAGTTTAAGAGAATGAAAACATATTCCTAGTCCAGTGGACTCATTTAAAACACAGGCAGTAGTCGAGTTCCCTGGCCTGTAAAGTGCTGTTTCACAGCCCGAGTGCCAGGCGAGCTCCTCAGGAGCTGTGCTAAGTGTTTATAAATGCTCTGTTTCTGGATCTGTAATTGCATCTCATTGCTGACGGGCGTTATTCTGAGGAGGGAGAATTGTCCTTTCGATTATCCTAATTAGTCTCATCCAGTTTTGATTACACCTTCAATATGGAGCCTGTCAATATACGCACACATGTACATACATGCACTCACGTTGGTAATTTGTATTGTGTGTGCTTTTTTTTCTTAATTAATCCACACCTGAGGATATTTTTTCAGTTGGTTTTTTTTTTTTTTTTTTTTT